ATTCATAGACACAACACACACACATGCACATTTATGGACATATACATACATACAAATACACAATGGTAATACATTTAATTAATCTTCACATAATCACCATTATTACTATTAGCTATTATCATCACCACCGCCGCCATCATCATTATTAAGATATATCTACACACAGTGTCCCAAAAAATTATTAAGATATATCTACACACAGTGTCCCAAAAAATTTAAGAGCTAGCACTAACTGAAGAATATTGATTTAATCAGAGTTACAAATTCCATCTTCAATCACAATTTTATGTCAGGTGTTCAAAAGGTCGCCCTTGCACAGGAATGCTCACATGGTCAAAGCACAGAATCGCAAACTTTTCTGAAACGTTTCTCTTGTAATTTGGCAACACTTCTCTTCTATTTGAATTGTTAAGGGTGTGTATATATTTTTGGGGAAACATTGGAAATTTCCAGAATTAAAAGTTGTTAAGGGTATGTATATTTTTGGGGCACCCCAGATAATAATAATAATAATAATAATAATAATAATAATAATAGTTTTATTTCTTACCCTCCTCCCTGCGGCTCGAGGTGGGTACAACGCAAGATATATGTGTGTGTGGTAAATACATACACACACATGCAGATATATATATATATATATATATATATATATATATATATATATATCCCCCTCCCTCCCTTCCTCCCTATACCTCTATATCTGGGAAGTTCAATCAATTTCCTTTCACTTAGGAAGGACTTAACAAGAACAATGACATACAACAAACCTTGGTCCTCACAGGTGGAGTTTTCTTATTCTTGTTTATATATAAATTACAATATTATTATTTTTCATGCTCATAGTCAATCTCTCTTACTGTAATTGAGCCCGGTGGCCTTTTCCAGCTTGGCTCCTCACCAGTTTTCGCTTTGCTGTCAGCTGTTGGGGAGGAAAGCGAGAGGGGGAAAAGAACAACAACAGCAACAGGAAAGCCTCGCACATATGTATGACTGTGTTCACAAACATTCATATGCACAAATCCACACACGAGTACACATACATATATGCATACAAATGAGGTAGCTTGCTGATCCAGCTGGCTGTTGTGACTGTTTAGCAGAGATCTGATAATTCTGCAATTGACTGATGAAGTTTCTCTCGTCCAAAGTGTATCCAGGGCTCATTTCAGTAGAGCAGATTGCAGTTAAAGGGATATCAGCAGGGGCCAGTTCAAATACTTGCAGTGCTAGACAGGACAGAGGTGTCAGTCCTGAACAATCTTCACTGCATCACCCAGCTTGCTTTCTTAGAGCCGCTGATCGCAATATGACTTTCTCATGGGCCAGCCCATTCTCTTGGCAGCCAGATTTCATTTTTTCACTGATATGAGTGAAAGTATCTGTCGTGATCAAGTGGTGCCACTGTTTTCCCAGAGTCAGGGCAAAGAGCAAGGTATTTATAGGGCACTCATTTAAAAGCACAGTCCTATTTCTCCACAATCTGTTATCTTCCGAACAGCTCTGTTCAGCGTGGTCTTGACTTCACCAGCCAATTGGATATGAATAGCCATACTTGGCGGGTAAGCTCCAAAATATGAAGGGAAAGAATGATATAAAATGTATATGGAATGATAAGCAGCATGAATAATTAAAGGAATATGATGGGTTAATTTGCTAGTCATAATTTTGAGAGGAGGAATTAAGTGAAAAGATTTATAGTTTATTCCAATTTGAATAAAGCATTTAGAACAATCTGATGTGAGATATTAATATTTGAGAGATACTGTGATGTAGAGGTTTCAGCATTAGACTATGACTTCGGAGATCGGAAATCAAATTCCCACTTGCCATGCATGGAAACTCATTGGGTGAGCTTGGGCAATTACACACTCTCAGCCTCAGAGGAAGGCAAAGGCAAATCTTCTTTGAATAATTTTTGCCAAAAAACTCCAGAGTATCTGAAGTTAAACAGAGTTTTTGAAGTTAAAGATGCCCATAGAAAATGTATCAAAATCTGTCTTTTAATAAATTTCCTCTGAGAAATCAAGATCAGCTTTTAAAACAAACATTAGATCATTTGGTTTCATAATTAAAAGAATTTAAAAGGAGAGATTGTCTAAACAAGTAAGGTTTCATTCAGCCAGCTCCATGCAAAATTCCATTGCCAGGATAGAAGATATTTCTTGAAATGCTGAGTAGATTTTATTTTCCTGTGTTCAAAATATTTGTTCAATATATGTAATATGTTTGCTCACACACTTGAATTCTAGTTATGGAACCACGGTATTGCTTGTATGGTATTTTGAACTATTTGCTTATTTATTAATTGTGCAATTTCTTGGCTGTATTGTAGGGGTAGGCAATGTTGTGAAGGTCTTATATCCTACAATAAGCAAGGCATGTTGTGAGTGGATAGACAGGAGGTTTCTGGATATAGAATGTTTAGATTGGATTTGGCTTTGAAAAAGTGATGCAGCATACTTGGGAAAGGAGAATATTCATTTTCATGTGATGGGTT